ATCAATTCTGCATTTCTGGGGAAATCATAGATCTTCTCATTCTATTTTTCCTGCACCCCCTCCACATCTCTGTCTCATTGAATTCTTAGTATTTTGCTCTGTCATCATACTACCCCTCCTTTCCAGTAAAAGCATTACCTAGAAGGTCATTATGTTTTCCTGCAGTAGCATTTTCGCTGATGAATATTAGTGTTCTGGTGTGTTCTTTTTTAAAAATATGTTTTTATTGATTTTTAGAGAAAAAGGAAGGGAGAGGGATGGAGAGAGAGAAACATCAATGAGATGAGAGAAAATCCTCAATCGGCTGCCTCCTGCATGCCCCCTACTGGGGATCGAGCCCTCAACCCGGGCATGTGCCCTGACCAGGAATCAAACCATGACCTTCTGGTTCCTAGGTTGACTCTCAAACGCTGAGTCACACCGAGCTCTGGTATATTCTTTTTTTTTTAATATATATTTTTATTGATTTCAGAGAGGAAGGGGGAGAGAGAGAGAGAGAGCGAGAAAGAGAGAGAGAGAGACATCAATGATGAAAGATAATCATTGATCTGCTGCCTCCTGCACACCCTCTACTGGGGCTCGTACATTCTTTAATGCAATTTCTCCCCTCAGAAGTTTTTTAGATGTGCCCTTTAGATCTTTCCAAGAACGAGGGAGGAGAAGCAAACAATGAAACTTACCTTTCTGCTCGGTCCTTCTCACCTCCCTTCTACTTGCAGGCACAGTGCTTTACTCCTGCTGCCCTTACTGGAGGCACACACTTAGGCGGTGTGAATCTCCCCCTAGGAATTGCATCTAACGCCATGGCGATGTGCTTGGACAGGGACGATTTAACCTGAGGGTCCTAGGACCCAACAGAATGGGCTTCCCAAGGCTGGTCAAGGTTTCAGAGACTGCTGGAAATTATATGCACCATTGTGTGCCTCTGAGCAGCTTTCCTGTTGTAGAAAATAATGAAACGGGTAATGAAGCCATCCTTGATGCCATGAGTCCAAGAACCCACTTGCTGTTTTGGTGTTGAACCTTCCAGCCTTTGTTTCCAAAATACATATATATTCTGTTATATTTTTACTTTTTTTATATGAATTGTGTTACTGCCATTATAAAATTTCACCAAGAATAACATTTGCCATTTAGTTATATGAGCACATGTTCAATAGCATAGTTTATGGCCTTGACATTTAAAAGGAACGAGATTCCTCCTCCTCATGTTAATTGGTCAGATCCCATCGCTGGCAGAGAGTTTGCCATTTGTTCCTCCAAAGGGACGCCTTTCGCATGGGGGCCTCCGTTCCCAGGCTTTCTCACTTCCGAGGCTCGCACTTAGACTCACACTGTGAACGCACACTTCCCAGTAAAAATTTTCTGGGATTCCTTTGAAGCCACATTTGCCACCTTCTAGGCTCTCAGAGCCGCAGGTGGTGCAGCCAGGAGCCCTTTCTTCCGCCTGCTCTCAACATCCTCCCTCTCCCCGCCCGGAGGGAGCAGATGTGCCCATTAAGACCAGGGCTGCTCCTACTCACACCTCCTATGGAATATGTGGTTTACACAATACAGGCTTCCCACTGGGAACACGAGTGCGCATCTGTCCTAAGGGAGCCACCTCCCTGTGACGTGTGGGCTGTGCCGCTCCTGTCCCAGCCGGGATGGGGCGGCCTGCGGTCCCTCCATCCCGACCAGAGCCACGTCCTGAGATGTCTCGGTCTTGGAGGACTCTGCAGAACGGTAACCGATTTTGAGTGTTTTCCGCTAGGTCTCTCAGCTGCTTCATACATCTGAATAGTTTGGGCTAAAATAAATGGTAACTTGTATCAGGAGCTTTGCTCCAGCATTCATTAGATTTTAAGATTTAATGATATACGGACCTAAAACAAATCGTTGTTGTTGTTGCTTTAAAGCTGTTGAGTGGAATCTCTTGGTTTTTGACTTTTTAAGTGCTGATTTGTGCTCCTGTAAAAGGTGTGGCTTTTTTAAATGAGGGTTTTCAACAACTAGCTAGCAAACAGGAACACATGCCTCTTTAAATTAAATAAGTTTGTTGTTGTTGTAAAATACAGCTTGTGTCAATGGAGCTGGGCCATTGGACTGTTCCTGGTCTGTTCCCTGGGCTGACTGTTCCCTGGACTGACTGTTCCCTGGTCTGACTGTTCCCTGGTCAGTTCCCTGAACTGCTCCCTGGGCTGACTGCCTCCTCAGAGGAGACAGACCCTCACCATCACCCCTTTAGGCTTCAGACTGGTTGGTCTCATGCAGTTAATGGAAGGGCCATTTATTAATGTGTTATTGTCTCAGCAAGATGTGAGTATGGTGTTCCTGATAAAGAATTCTAGATTAAGGCTACATTCTGCCCCACTAGTCCCCGGAACCCTGCCCTTCCATGTCCCACAGAAGTGTCCCTGCTGCCACTGTGGTGGGGAAGCCGTGGACCCTGTGCCTGTGTGTGAGTGCGGTCAGCACTGCCTGCCCCCCCCCCCCCCCCACTTCCGCCAGCTGTAGCTGGCTGTCCTCACTCCCCATTATGTTCTGGAAACATCCATGGTGTCGCCCTCAGAGGTAGCGCGTGTCCTCTGACCTCGCTGACTGCTGTACAGTCGGCTGGCCCACGCTTCTCTAGAGCGTCCGCTGCTCCCAGGTTTCCTTCGTCTCGGCCGCGAGCGCCCTGTGCAGCCCCTGACCGTGCGGGTTTCTCTGTGAGGGAGATGGAAGTGCCCTCTATTTATGTGCAGATTTAGAGGCAGGACATGTAGGGTAGCCGTCGACAGGAGCGATGGCAGAGTGAGGGTTGAGGCCATGTGCCCGGGCTCCTCTGACCCAGCTGGAGATGTTTTATACATTTTTTGTAGAGTCATGGGGACCCTGGGTAAGGCCAAATCTAGTTAACTGTGGTGAAACCTACTCAGTCCAGTTAACTGAGGTTAGCCTGAATTAGGGAGAAATCTGAACTTTAACAAGTAATGGTAGGTACTTTTGAAATATACAGTGACCCACACTAATATAACTTGATAAAATTCATTAAGGGAATCATATTAATGAACAAATAAAAGCACCTAATGATTATTTTTAAGAATAATGACATATCTAAATTGCCCAACGTTATTCTCATCCATAGGTAAGATATTTCCCCTACAATATATTTTCTACTTTAACATGCTAGGCAAGTGATTTTGCCTCATTAAAGTAAGACAAACAGAACCACTTCCTTCCTGAATGGTGTCAAGTAGCAAAGGCAGAGGAAAGGGGAGGACATTTGAGGGCCACCCCTTACCAAGTACCAGGCTTTTAAACCTTTGGTCCAGTTAATGACTGTGGCAATCTTGTGAGGTGAGTCTCAGCTCCATTTCATAGATTGAGAAACGGAGACCTCCAGGGCTCCAGAGCGGCTCCCTGAAAGTTTCCTCTCTGATTCCCCCTGACTCAGAACAGTAGCACTCTTCGTAATGTAGTTTCCTTAGATGTGGTCCTCAGACCCCTGCATCAGAATCTTCTGGAATATTTGTTCTCATGCAGATTCCTGGACCCCTGCCAGGCATGGCCCGGGGATCTGGCATTTTTAACAAGTGGCCTGGTGCTCCTTAGCACCCTGGAGTCTGAGAGCCACTCTCCCCGACCGCGGTGACCCCATTTTGGTGATGTGATGAGCCCTGCCACAGAGTGCCTTGGGCCTGAGGACAGGGTCCTCTCAGCCCTGACTGCAGGGGACGTCCCGGCGCTCCCAGGGGGGCCTCTCCTGCTCACCCCTTCCACGGCCCTGTGTCACCTGCACTGAGCCTAGCACGGCTCCTGGTTTGACAAGTCACTTCCAAGGGAGTAGAAATCCTCACAGTACGTGGGGATCATTTTCTCTAAAATGTGGACATTTCCAAGGCAGAACCATCAGATCCAAGTGTGCCTTTGGTGTCTAATACAGATGGAATCTGCATTTTACGTTCGACCCCTTGCTAAAACCAGAAAAAAAGAATTTTTTAAAGAGAGAGGGCAGCTTGCAGAAATGATTACCTTGGAAACACTGTTAAATGCTTGCTTCACTCTTGCTTCCCAGCCCTCCTTTGCTGCGCTCCCCTGGGACACATTCCCATGCGCCCCCATCCCCTCTGACTCGCCTAGAGGTGAGGAAATGAAGGTGCCCTCCTCCCAGCTGTCTCACCCCCACGGAGAACAGGGGAAGAGCCAGCAGGCCCCCTGACCGGCTTCGTTCCTCTGCCTTCCTCTCTCTCCATGATTCTCTCTCCCTCAGCTCTGTGAACCTTCTCTCATTCCCCAGTGACATGCCCCCCTAAGGGACTAGTCCCCACTGAGTCCCTTTTCGCAGGCTGAATAGGAGTTTGCTGGGATGACTGACACACAGAGGGGTGTGTCCACGATCCGTAGGGGGTCCCAGACCAACTTGCATTTGTGTTCTGTGCTGGCACAGAGCATCCGTCTTTGTTTTGGGGTTCTGCTCATCAAATAAAGAAGGCATTCCTCTCCTGGCAGACAGAGACAAAACAGAAAGGAAGAAAGGAAAGATGACCTCCCCCCCCAAAAAAAAAAGAGAAAAGAATTAAATTTTAACCATATACTCCACTGAAATTCAATATATACCCTATCCTCTGTCCTGATTGGTCCGCTTCAATTGACAAGTGGATCGGGTAGGAAGGAAATATCCTGGACTTAATTGTAAGTTAAGTCTGTCTTAATCCAGAAGAGCATTTGAGATTCTGTCCAAGTGTTCAATTTCCCCGGCCGCGGAGGTCTGTGAATTTCTTTTCCCAGCCTCCAGGCTGCTGCAGTACAAGTCAGCATAGCTAATGCAGATAGATCTCCTGCCCCGGCTGCCTCCTCCCTCCGCTTTGATTCGATATGAACAGCCTGGTACCTCCGAAGCTGGGGAGAAATCTGACATAACTCTGCAGATGGCTAGGTGGCCGTGAAGCGCCTGGGGATTGTTCTTTAAGGAAAAGGTAACGTTTATGTGCTAATGATTTCTTCCCCCCTCCCCTCCTTGTTGCATTTTTTTCCAGGGCTGCCAGTTCCCAAGAAGAGCCCCAAGTCGGTAAGGACTTGCCAGTTACTTGGTGATTAATT